TCATTGTGGGAAAATTCTACTACCAGTCCTTCATCACCTTACACGAAATAGGGTGAATACATCTCAGACCAAATTTTGCCCGAACCATGCAATTCAAATATATCATAAGGCTCGTCAAGTTTTACAGATTCCAGCAAAAAACACATATAGCGCATTCCAGCCTAAATATGATTATCTAAGTTATAAGGTGTTGGCTGTTTAAGGAAAAATGTAGCCATAGTTTCCATACCTTACCGCTCATTACTCGTCTTCAAATGCATACTTGAGAAGGATGGAGTGGATAGTAGGCAAAAAAGATATTGAAAAAATCTGGACCTATCCTACCTTGGCTAACCGGCATAACAGTATTAGCCCAGCGAACTCCACCCCCAGGGCCACCAGCCATGGCTGCCCCCGCCGTCGTCACGCCAACTACTTGACCAGCGGCATTTATTACCGTCTGCATGGGTGTACCAGTCGCTGCGGTCAGCACGGACTGCTGATGTTGCTGGTTAAGTTGTTGTTGCTGTTGTTGCTGGAGCTGATGTAGTTGATGCGCCTGGCTCGCAGATGCGGCGCTCACCAGTAACTGGCCACCTACAGCACCCGCAGGAGTGGTGACCGTCAATAGCTGTTGTTGCTGTGTTTGTTGTTGCTGCTGGTGATGCGCTAATGCTTGTTGCTGATGCGGACTGAGTGTGGCCGCTTGTAGGGTGGTAGTTGTTGTACCATCGGGACCCATGGTTGTCATAAGTACTTGTTGCTGTTGTTGTTGCTGCTGTTGCTGTTGCAGAGACTGGCCCAGGCCACGCTGAGAGGCCAAGAGTTGTGCATGCGACGGACTGAGCACGCTCATCGTTGGAGCAAGGTTGGCGCTGCTGACCATGGTAACCTAATACATAAAGATAGGCAGGAATCAGGAATGGAAGGTGCGAATTGGTGTATCCACCGTGGCCATATTCCAAACAAATTTTGGAAGAAGTCAGGTCAGATATTGACAGGTTGCTAACGCTCAATAATGGCATAATATTCTAAATTTGGTGATTTGTAATTTGATTCATTAGGTTAAGCTATAAATAATAGAATCTATCCGCCAGCTCATCTTTCCTTTCGCCTATATGCCCATTCATCCATCGGTGCACTAAAGTGGACTGCAACCGTTTAACCAGATCCTAATTCAGATAGCCTATTGGCCCATATGTTTGCCCACCAAACCGTCAATAGACTTTTGTCTGTTTGGATTTATTTGCGCATGCAAGTTTACTGTAAATAATAAGTAAAAACATTTGAATCCTATAGGACACTTTGTGCTCCGGCTTCACATTGAAAGAGCTTCAGCTAACAATAAAAAGCCAAAACAATCCAAGTTGTTAACATAGTTTCAAATTTCCAAAGCTTTAGGCTGTCTAATTCCAAGGCAGACCCCATTTGATACAATTTATTTATACACTAGACGCGGCAAGTCTAGGAATAGATGAATAGAGGAATAATGAACTTTGGGCAATTAAAGGCGGCATTGAAAATAGTCTAAAATGTGATTCCTTAGCAAGAATGAGCATAGTTTCATGTTAGTTATACATGTGTGCTTTAGTTGTGTGAGCGTATATGGAAGATATTGATATGAGATTGGCCACATGAGCGTATATGGAAGATATTGATATGAGATTGGCCACAATGGTTCGCCTTGAAGGTAAATTGCCTCATG